GGGTTAGATGAAGTCATGAGAGCAGAGCCCCCATGATTGCATTGCTGGTGACTTTATAAGGAGAGGACAGGGCCAGAAGACATGCACATGTCCATACTCCACATTTTACCAAGTGATGTCCACTACACCCCAGGCTTAGCCAGCAAAAAGATCATGACCAGATGTTACACCTCGACCTTGACCTTGTACCTCTAGAACCATGAACCAAAATTATCTCATTTTCTTCACAAAGTAACCTTCCTTGGATATTTCACTAAAATCATAAAACCAGGCCAATACAGAGAAAATCTCCAGACTCCAGAAGTGAGGTGTTCAGACCTTGAGCTCTTCCCACAGTAACCGGTTGGGAAGGGGAGGGCGAAGAGGACCATTGCCTTCGGTGGAGGCAGAGGACTTCCGACTTGGTTGGAATTTGGTTTTAGTTTTCAGTCAGCATTGTGCTTAGAGAAAGTTTTTTAAAAATCAAATACTTACATGCTTATAACAAAAATGGCAGCAAAACTGCTGTCCCTGCCATCATTCCTATTTTCCAAGGTGTCCTTGGGTTCCCTTTGATCCCTTAGTGCTTCCTTTTTACATAGAGTCTGTTAACTTTCCTCTGTGGAGGAAGATTAGGACTTATATCCCCTCCACCTCTCAGCACACATGCTTCCCTCCTCTGGCTGCCTTGGACTTCAGTCACAGTTTTGGTTAGCTCCTTATGTGACCCTGCTCTAGGACTTCGTTAGCCAGTCTTATGGACTCACTCAGGTGTTTGGCAGATTCCTCTCTGCGACCTCCAGCCTTTCCAAGAAGACTTGGAGACCCTGACATCTGGGAGTAGGACTAGCCAAGTCTCCCACGCCAAAGCCAGCAGCTAAGAAAGCCTGCCCATGCCTCAGCATATCCAGCCAATCTTTTTCTGTTCATTCTTATGAGTGTATGGGAATGGGCAGAGATTTCCCGGGATGTGAAGAAAGTATAAACCCAGGTGACAGAGCCCCACCCACACTCCCAGACAGTCTGGTAAGCAGGAAAACAGCAAGAACGTGGTAGGGATGGAAATAACAGGTTCAATCCAGAGAGTAGAATAAAAGAAAGCAGACTGGTATTTCTAATACCCTTAGAAGAAGAAGATTGCCAAAACTCAAAAGTATGTGTAAAGTATATCAGTTAGGGTTCATTGGAGGAACAGATATGATATGAGATGATATGATATGATATATAAATATTATACAAAGAATTTACAAAATAGGCTTCCAATGGCCGCCTGTGGAGTAGGGGCTGGAAGAATGCAAAATGGGTGTCTGTGAGCTAGGGAGTAGAGAGCCGGAGGAGCCTGGAGCTCACTGCAGAATCCAGGGCACTGGGAAAGCTGAAGGGTCTGTGCTGGAAGACTGAAGGAGCTAGAGACGAACATTCAGAGGTAACGGCACACACTGGAGCCCCTCCAAAGAAGCGAAAGAAGGCATAGGGCCAGGGATTTAGCTCAGTGGCACAGCGCCTGCCTAGCAAGGGTGAGGTCCTGAGCTCAATTCCTGATAACCGCAGCCGCCCCCCCCCCCCGCCAAAGAAAGGGCAGATTCCCCCTTTTTTTTCCCTTTTTATTTCATTCAGGCTACAAGCCTATTGGCTGGTGCCTCCTGTGTCCAGGTGTTTCTTCCCTGTTTATTTTATGGCTTACAAGTCGGCCATCCAGACACAACCAGAACTGTGCTCCACTAATTTGCCAGGCACTTCTTATTCAAGCTGACTCCACAGACTGACACCAAGTGTTAGGTAGGATATGGGGAAGGGAAAATGAGAAGACAAACCAGTACAGCCTCTTTCCAGAATAATTTGGCAATGTATGGTAGAGGTGAAGATGCATAAGTCTGTGACCCAGCCCATTTCACTTTAGAAATAGATGCACAGGGAGATTTTTCCATGAGAAAGTTGTAGAAAGAAAGAAGTTTTTATTGGGCTGTTTGTAAATATTGAAAAAGAGGAAATAACTGTCAGTAGGAAGGAAGTGGATAGTCAGGTGCATTCAGAGTAAAACACTGTGTAGCTATCAGCCACTTACCATTTACCCCAGTGTCACCCAGGGAGTGCGTTTGCTTGTGTACTATTCCGAACATTGCTTAGCAGGTATCATTTCCACCGGTTGATTCTTAGATTAAATAAATTTGATAAAATTGTCATTTTTATATTTCCTGTTATCTTATAAAATTAATAAAGATATGCAATTTTTGGACAACCTGTATTTAAATAATTGGGCTGCTAAATGGTTAAAGTGAATGAGATTTTTAGTTACAGAATATGGATGCCAATAAAATATTGGATACAAAAGTCAAAGTTATAAAAGTCTAAATTTGTGTAAATTTTAATACATACATAAAACTATATTGAGGGTAATAGTAATGAAGGCTAACATATATACTGTTGGTGACAGGCTGATATTATCTGCATTCTATTGCTTGAATATTGAGGCACGGAAAGGCTAAGTAAGATGCCTGTGTTCACACAGCTAGCATGTAAGTAATACATGGACAAAAAGGAAGCAGAATGGCATGAGAACATGGGGCTGTCATTCCGGTCCTGCCTCCCACTGAATTACATCCCCAGCCCTTTCCTTCATTTCTTGTTTTGAGACAGTCTTGCTAAGTAATTCAGACTGAGTACAAACTTTTGATCCCCCTGCGTCAGACTCCCAGAGTGCTGGGATTGCATGTGTGCACCACCACACCCAGAGAACTTTAATTTTTAGAGCAGTTTTTGGTTAACAGCAAACTGAGCAGTAAGTAGGGAGACTTCCCACACACCCCTTAGACATGCATTACCTCCCACAGCACCATTCCCCATCCATGCTACATTTGTTACAACTCATGAACCAGTCCACCCATCATTATCACCCAGTGTCTATATGACTTGGATTCTGCACTCGTGTTGGGGTTCAATACATATTTAATGACTTGTACCCACCATTATAATATCATAAAGAAGAGTTTATAGCCCTAAAAATTCTTATGCCCCACCGAGTCACCCTCTCTCTAGCCTAACTCCTGGAAAATACTGATCTTTCTAACTGTCTCCATAGCTTTGCCTTTTCCAGAAGGTCATGGTTAGAAGGGTACAGAGTACAGCTTTTTCAGATTAGCTTCTTTCACTTTAGTAATATCCATTTTAGTTTCCTCCATTTCTTTGTATGACTTGATAGTTCATTTCTTTTTATCACTAAGTAGTAGTATTTCGTAGATGTATAATACTGTTTTAAAATGTTCATGCTTTAATACTTCTTAGCTTCCAGGGATTAAAATGATAATCTTGGAAACATCCCAGTGCTGAGTATCCAGGGCCACAGAGCTAACAGAACCACAGACTCTATGAATTGGTGTGTGTAATTTTCATTGGACTTCATTCAGCAAAACACCCTTTTGCTTACTGTTTGCTGTGTACTTTACCAGTGTACCAGTGTCTGCACACCTGTGATATGGGCCTGGAGTCCAAAGAGGGCAACACTGTGACCTCAGGCAGAACAGTGCTCTGCACGCGCCAGGCATCTCAGAACCCTGCTGCTCATTTTGTTATTGAGTTCTATTTCTACCTCAGGACAGGCTTTTACAAAGATGTTGGAATCTTACCTAAACATATTCCTCATAAGGATTTTGGATGGGAATCTCTGTGTTATTTCCTTCATCGCTGCTTTCTCTGTGACTCATTCTAATTACTTGTGCTTTTTAGTGTGGCTTTTATATTGCAGAAAATCATAGTGAGCCACTGTTATCTGGCCTAGTAGAGGCAGGGTATCTGCCGAGATAAATAGTTACTAACAGTTGCCTTGTATTGCTTATATACAGTGCTTTTGAAGAGTTGCCAAAGTTGAATTGGGGAGTTGGGAGTTGGAATGATATAATTTAGTGTATCTTCTGTATTTTAAAAGTGAGGAAATTGAGGCTTAAACAGCTGAATGTGTACAAAATAACAAAGCCAATTACTGACAGTTAATTACTGACAGAATGGGAAGTAGGAAATAGGGCTCCCCTCTTCCTGCATATGTTGCCTGCATCACAGAGTATAATAAAATACACCAAAACTAAAACAAAACTGTAGATCATTATTTCATTTTCATGGGTTGATATGTAAGACTCCTCAAAAGGGCTTCATAGGTGTAGTACTCCTATACTTTAGAATGTAGTACCTGTGATATATAAGTCAGAACATTAGCTATAAAGCTTTTTTATATCTTATGCTGAATAAAAGGTAAGTTCTTGAGATGAAAAATGCTTGTGTATGATGTTACAGAAGTTTTAACACATCTGCTTTATTTGTATAAATATAGATATCACTGATGTACTAGGTTTTCTTTCAACCAGAAGGAAAATCCCAAACTTGATGCACTAGAGTTGGGTCAGAGATTTAGATTTAATTTTTGAGCTCAGACTTCTTCCCTTGTGGGTAGAGACTTGGCAACAGGAGTTTGATCATTTGCATTAAAGGCTTATAGGATAGCTCTGTTTGTGTTTTTGTAACAGTCCTACTCTGAAGTGGTTGAGTGATGGAGAGCTCTAATTGGGTAAGTGCTGGGGTTAGTTTTATGATTTTTCACTCCAATGAACTCTTTTTTTTTTTTTTGCACCAGGAATCAAACTCAGGACCTTGCACTTGCCAGGCAGGCGCTTGTACCACTGAGCTATATCCTTGGCCCTCCAATGAACTCTTAACTCAGCTACTCCTTAGGTGCCCATTTTTACTATCTTTGCTGAAAACTTAAATAGGTGTTTTCTGCTGAACTTTTCTGTATGGTAACATTCAATATTGTTCATTAATATTAGGATATAAGTTTTACACATATCATTGTTATAAACAGAGACAACATCCTTTATGACTAAAGAAAATAAAAAGGCCTTATTTGAATTGGTAAGTAGAAGCAAATTTAGTAACCTTGATTGTTTGACTTAAATCTTCCAGAGAACGTCTACAACCACAAAGAAATCTTTAACAAACTACCTATAAAACTATGATAATGATTTATCTTGCAGTGTGTGAGCTTAAGTCTCCTTCCATGAGTGATTTCCTGTGGGGGCTGGAAAACTCCGGCTGGTTACGGCACATTAAGGCCATCATGGATGCAGGAATCTTCATTGCCAAGGTATGAGATTTCAGAACACGGGTAGAACAGCAAGCCACTCTGGCTTCAAAAAGATGAGCTGCTTGCGCCCACCCAGTTCCTCTGTGCTAAGCTGTTTAAGGTGGTGTATGTAGGTGGCTTTGCAGACATCCCCATGGGTTTTGTCTTTGGAAGATGTAATTTTGCAAGAGCACATTGTTCAGTTGATAGTACGTTACATGGTGGTAAAATATTTCTGGAATATTTTCTCTTCCATTAAGTTGAATCTGATATGGGAGTGTAACCAAATGTGAGTCATTTCAATAATAGGGGCTTACAGACCAGTAGACCATTCTTTTTAGTCTTGACATAAACCAAAGTTGTGTTCTACTAGCTGACAGGTGGATTCCACTTTATAAAAATCTTGCTACAACTTTCACAGTGGTCTTTTTTAATGCATTCTGTTATTATTTAGTGTTTTGGTTTTTTTTTGGTCTTTTTGAGACAGGATCTTGCTATGCAGTTCAGGCTGGGCTTGAGCTCACTTTGTAACCCAGGCTGGTCTCAAACTTGCAGCAGTCTTCCTACCTCAGCCTCCCGAGTGCTGGGATTACAGGCATGTGACACACCATGCCCAGTTTAGTGTTTCTTTAAAATGCGTTTCTTTTAGATTTATGATGAAAGAGAACCATGTCTTTTCTGATGACATGGTAAAACAGCCTTTATTAATAACCGTTTGAGCAGATATTTATTTAGTGCTGTGTTATTGAGCAGATATTTATTGAGCAGATACTTATTAAGTGCTGTGTACTGTTCTAGGTGTAACGGATGCAATACTGAATAGCTAGGTCAAGTCTCTTTCCTAGCAGAACTGACGTTCTCGTGTGCTAGACAAAAAAAAGAAAGGAAGGAAGGCAGAATTTCAGGTAGTGATAAATACTATGATGAAATCTCTACCATGTTTCCCAGTTTTTATTTCCTGCCAAGACATATAGCTAAAAGTTGTGTGTACATTTGCAATAACAAATAGAAACTTTTTTAACTGGGCCTTCACCCATCCATTGCTTGCTTCATCTCTATTTATCTATTGTTTTTTACTTTAATAATTTAGAATTTTTACACCTTGTCCTTTTTTGAAATGGTTATAGCTAGTAGCAATCCTGAAATTTCACTGAAGTTTAACATGGAAACCAGAGGGGAGGAAGGAGGGTGCAGGTGGGTGAGAAGCTAGGTCACGAAGGTGCGTCTGCACAGGAGGTGTATTGTATTCAGCAGATACACTAAGTTTAGAGATACTGAGTCTTGTAGATATGCTGTATCTTGAAGCCAGTGGCCTCTAGATACAATCAGGAGGGAAAGAAAAACTTAGCTACTAGTACTACCCACTCCTTGGCTTTGCCTCGGCAAGGCTGGGCATAAACACTACAGAATGAACATGCTTGTTTTGCATATTTCTTTGTGTAAGTCCGTGGTCAGTCCTAGCTCTGATTGCAGATTGGTGTTTTTTAGGCAGTTTCAGAGGAAGGGGCAAGCGTGCTTGTTCACTGCTCTGACGGCTGGGACAGGACTGCTCAAGTGTGCTCAGTAGCAAGCCTGCTACTAGATCCACACTACCGGACTTTGAAGGGCTTCATGGTGAGTGTGGCTGCCTGGCATTTCCCAGAGAGGCACTGCCTAGACCAGCAATAGATACCTTCTTTCAAAAGCTTTGGTAACTTATTTTTCTCTCCAGCATTATTTTTGTCTTAGTAGATCAGCAAGGTTATTAAAAGATGAAAAAGGTTTGGAGACAAGAGATAAATTTCTGAGATAATTGAAACCAATTCAAATCAGTGCTTTTGAATATTAATTTGGGCCAAACATAAAATATATTTAAAGGTTTGAAAAATACTTTTATACATAACTTGCTCCTGTTTTCAAATTTGGGATAATGTGTGAATTATAACAAAAAAACTCACATATTTTAGAAAACAGCATTTGGAAAAAGTTTTCTGTGTTGTGCTTAGGGAGAAGAACAGCTTTCATTTCTAGGCTACTTTTCAAGTCATCTGGGTGAGTGTGCTGAAAGCCTCACAGTGTTTCTGTGCTCTGCTAGAGCGTCACTGCCTTCGCTGTGCACCACAGCACACCTTGCTGCTTGCACCTGACAGTGGCTGGGTGAAGTTGTGGCTAAGCTGGTACAATTTCCTTACGATTAGTGCAGGGGCTTCCTCGTGACCATGCAGTTACCTGGTACCTATGTGTTGAACCCTGATGTGACAAAAAGTGCTTCATTGAATGCTGAACTCATGCTTAGGGACAGATGTTGCCAAAGGAGCCAAATCTGGACACTATTGCTGCTAGATCTTCTTGAGCAAGTAGCATCAGCTGACACACTGGGGACAAGAGAGAAGAGACAGGCCTCCTTTCTGGAGCTTTCCTTTTTGAGAAGTGTCTAACAACTTCTCATTACCTGTGATAGCATTGAGACTTGGGAGGCACACTCGCTTCGGACCTCTCCTGTGCTAAGGTTAGGGCTGGATTGCTTTGTTTAAATTTGGAAGGTGGAAGGGCACCCAGACCTGTGGTAGGAACTCCACCTCCCATGAGACTTTCTCCTGCACAGCATCCTTTTTTGCCATTGAGTGAACCTAATTGTGCCATATTAAAGCATTAAACTTGAAGCACAAAGTAAGTGTGTTTAGAGTAAAATGCATTTAGAGTTGTCAGATACAGACTTCAATAGTCCATATATCTTTATAGGGGAAACTAACAGCCAGATTAAAGCAGTGGTGATAATAGTAGGACCTTCCTATATTATATAATTTTTTTAAAAATCTATTTCATATTGTAAACTCATGGTAACCCTAATTCCAGAGCAAGGCCAAAACTTGTAATGTACCCCCACACTCAGTGATTTTACAGTTATTCTACTGTGTAGTAAAGATCACTGGAAAACCTTCTTAATTGTTTCTTGAAAGGTTGGTATTTTACATTTTACTGATAGGCAGCATCACATACTATTAAGAAATAGGGTTTAGAATAGAGAGATCTAGGTTACAGAATGGTGTCTCCTGCTTCCTAGTAGCACGATCTTGGATAATATTTAATTTCTCATTGCTTCAGTCTTGACTTCTCTAACATGACAGCAATAATAATTCCAGTCCCACAGTTAAATGAGACCACATGTGAAGCAGTTTGAAATGCCTAGCACACAAGAAGCACTTGGTAGGTGGGGTTACAACTTAACATGCCAGTTCTTATCTTTCTTATTGATGACCCTGAACTTTACTGTTTCTGTTTGCACTTGTGACCAATGTGTTCTTATTCATTTGTGGATTACCTGAGGGAAGTGATGTCTGTTCCACGAACTTCTGAATCTTGCACCCTTATTTCGCTTGTTTGCTTCTCTTCATATCTATCTTTTTCTTGTGTGTAGGTATTAATCGAAAAGGACTGGATTTCTTTTGGCCATAAGTTTAATCACAGGTAAAGGATATTTCTAAATATATTGTTTTGGATGTTTACAATAAAAACATTTTCTGAAGTTTTCACTGGCGTGTGTAGGGGAAAATAGTCATTTTTGGAAAGATACCTTACTTTGTGTACCTTTTCTGGAAGTTCATATTTTGTTTTAGATGTTATATCAAAGATAAATGAGGTTCTCAAACTCTTGATTTCCCTCAGTATTAGTTGGGTAGAACTAATGTGAAATTATCCCAGAAAAGATAATCAGTGTTTGTTTTTATTCATTGATCTAGAAAAGATCAATTTTCCTTTCTTCCTTTACACATTTCATTTGCTGAATTACTCCATTTTAAATGGGCCTGCATTTACTTTAGGCTGCAATTTGCAAGATGCCTGTGGAACAGTTTCGCTGACCTTTCACAGTGGTATCAGATTGAGCTATTCAAATGACATTCCTGCCACAATAAAGTTTATCCCAAATGTCTCTGGAGAGGTAGTATAGGGTGGTGGCCCAGGCTTTGGAGCCAGGCAGAACCAACTACAAATCCATGCTGTGGTATTTACTTACTGTCTCACCTAATATCTTTCTTTTCTCCCCTTTGGTATCCCATCTGTGGAATGGAGATGTCCTCCCTACTTCTTAGCATTGTGGCAGGGATTTTTAAAGTCTCTAACTAAGCTCCTTCACTCCTTCTCCAGATGGCAGGCTCTGTAATCAGAACTATTGTGTATGGAGACATTAGCCTGCTTCTGTTAGTGTTCATGATAAAGCCTGTCTTGTGTTCTCATGGTCTCAAATCTCTGACTCAGAAGTGCTTAGAATTCCAGTAGATATTTTGATGTGCACCTTTATTTCAATACATTTTCCTGCAATAAATTCTAAGTACATACAACTGCCCCTAAATATTTTTGTGCTTTTTGTTTTCACTTTTTTGATGATAGTAGGGATTGAACCTAAGGAATGCTGAGTTGCATCCACAACCCTTGTTATTTTATTTTGAGATGAGGTCTTGCTGAGTTGCCCAGACTGACTTTGGACTTGCAGTCCTCCTGCATCAGCCTCCCATGTAGCTAGGATTGTAGAGGTGTCATTATACCTAGCTTTTTATGTTTTGTATTTAACATTTATGGACCATTAATTCTGTGGTTTCCTGGAATTGTTTTTGTAATTATTTGTCCAGAAAATAATAATATTTGCATTTTAAAAATGAGAAAGTTAAATAAAATCCCTCAACAGTTAAGTAAACTTCTTAAGATGGCATTGTTATTTTCAGTTTTGAGGTTTTGTTGACCATCTACTAGGCAGGTAAGCTCTTTAAAGTAGATGTCAGAATGTGGAAGTGGCTGAAGACCAACTGGGTAATTGTCTGACTGATGAGGAAAGAATATATTAGCAACCCTTTTAAAATCTACCATCAGTGAGTGGAACTGAAACTTTTGAAAAGTTTCAATTACGGATGTTTTTCTTTTGAGAAAACTCTTAAACTAACATTTCTCAATTCTGCTGTCTGAGTTGATTATCCATTGCTGAGTTTCAAGTTCTATATTGTTTTGATGGCATGCAAAGCATCCTTTTGTTTGTTTTCTAAAAATCACAGAATGGGGGCTGGGGATTTAGCTCAGCGGCAAAAGCGCCTGCCTTGCAAGCGCAAGGTCATGAGTTCGGTTCCCGGTACCGGAGAAAAACGAAAAAAAAAAAAAAAATCACAGAATGAAGGGCCAGAAGTCTTCACTGAAAATTAACATAACTGTAACGAGGAAGACTGTGGTGTATTCTTGAAAAATGAAGACAAGAGGTATAAAGAAATATCTGTGGGATCTATGGCCACATGGAAATAAATGATGTTACAAGTTTTAACTCTGCTGTAGGAACGGAAATACTCCTAGAAGCCTGAAAAAGCTTTTTCAAGTTATTTTTCTTCGTCATCCCTTCTCAGTGAACAAGGAGACAGTGAAAAACCTGAGGCTGCTTAGAAATTTCTTCTCACTGTCCAATTAGTCACTAAATGTGGAAGTTCTACTTCAAACATTCTGATGTGTTTTTAAAGTTTGAATTTTAAAAATGATTTTTTCATGGAAAGGTTTCTTGAATTTTATCTCTAATACTAACACTTTTGTAACTACAGCAGGAACATGTTCTCTTCACTATCGTAGACTATCATTACATTTCTATCAAAATTGGAATTTTACTAGGAATTCAGCAATGGTTGTTATATTGCATATTGTCTTCAAGTTGGTTGTTCAGATTACCAGATATAAGCATGCAAAATTGGTCCAAAAAAATTTAAAAATAAAGCATTAACTGTTCCTTTCAATAAACCATTAGACATCAGTTTAAAAAAAAATTGGAATTTTAGGAGTTATTTGTCCACTTCTTCATTTTAAGCTTATCAATTTAATTAGGAGCTAAGATTCCTTTTATGATGGATTTTGCATTTATAATTTTCTAATTTAAAAAATTTACCTTATAAAGTCTCTAATACTTTGTTTTGTAGATATGGCAATCTAGATGGTGACCCTAAAGAAATCTCACCAGTAATTGACCAGTTCATTGAGTGTGTCTGGCAGCTAATGGAACAATTTCCCTGTGTATTTGAATTCAATGAGAGGTTTTTGATTCACATTCAGCATCACATTTATTCCTGCCAGTTTGGAAATTTTCTGTGTAACAGCCAAAAGGAGAGAGGAGAGTTCAAGTATGTATCTTCATATTTAATTTATCTAAATATTTTGGCAATTGAGAATTTCAGGTGGCCTTTCATGATTTTGAAGATTTCATTTCTATATATTGACAGGTTAAAGATCATTTCTTGCTCCTGAACATCATTTCATAAGTGATTTCAGTGTCATCAACTGATAGAACTGTATACAAGTTCATTTTCCCCTAGTCTCTATCTGATGTACAGACAAATTGCAAGACTTTACACATTAATATTTAAAGGAAGCTTTCTGGAGTCCAAGTAATTCTTTATTTGAAAGGAAAAAAATTAGACATTTTTGGTGGACATAATGTCATAATAAAAATTGCAAATATAACTAGAAAAGCAAATTTTGATACTTGAACCACTGTTAATTTAAATTAAAACTATTATATTTATCCAACCTAGATAAAATATTGACTTTTAAATAATTATAAAGTAAAAAACTTAATAAGATGATTTAGGAAGGTCAAATAAGAGAACATAGAGATTTTCAGAAAATGATTTTAATTGAAGTATATACAGTATCAGCTCTAATTTTAGAAGTGGTTGGTTCAAATATAACAGATTCCAGTAATTTTATACCATCTGAATTGAACAGAAAGAAAGACTTCCAGTGATATAAATGGGGATAATCTAAAAGTAGCAGCCTACATGGGCTCAGCTATTTTCCTAGATAGTTTGTGATACCAGTATGACTGTGAATTTCTGTACAGTGCCAACTCAACATGGTAAACTGGGGTAACCTTTTCCAAAGCTGACAGCACAGTTAAAGTTATTTGTATTTATTTAAAAAGACCAATAAAATCAGTATGTTATGCATGAATAGAACATATTTTCTTTGTAACAGAATTCAAGAAAGAACATACTCATTATGGGCTCATCTGTGGAAGAATCGGGCTGACTACCTGAATCCTCTGTTTAGAGCTGATCACAGTCAGACCCAGGGAAACCTTCATCTCACTACAACTCCATGCAACTTCATGTACAAGTATGTAAACCTTTAGGAATTTTCTAGCTATGGTGTGCACTTAGATTGTAGCACTGTTTAACATTCAGAGGCCAAAGTATGAAAAGTATAAAACAGTATATTTTAAAACTTTTTATTTTATGGAAAAAAGGTAAAATAAAATTTCATAACCAATAATAGGAGGATAATAATAGTTAATACATTGCATATTAATAGCTTTAAAGTAATTATTCACAGCACAAGATACGGGTATTAAAATTTCTCCAATCAATATTAACACAAACCTTCCTTTTAAATGAACTAAGAGACACTAATAGTATAACTGACTTGCATTTTTCCCTTTTCCCTTCCGTCCTTTCCCTTTTCTTCCATCCTAGTTCCTTTTCTCTTCTGAACAATTTCTTCCCATTTCACAATATCTATTGTACATTTTAGACTTTATTTACTCTTTCAGTTTCTCACAGGGAAGACAGGGACACAATTCAATGTTCACACGTATGAGTCTAATTTATTTCACTTATGAGTGTGGTCTAAAGTTATATCTGTTTACCTATAAAAGTTTGGAAATCACTGTGGAGATTCCGATAGAAGCTAGGACTGGAGGTCCCATTCAATATAGCTATTCCCCTCCTGGGTATTTTCCCAGAAGAACTGAAAACATTGTACCACAGCGATATATGTGCACCCATGTTTATAGCAGCACAGTTTGTCATAGCTAAATCTTGGAAACAACCCAAATGCCCACCAACCAAGGAATTGATACAAAAAAGATGTGGTATTTTTATACAGTGGCGTACTACTCAGCCAAAAAGAATCATTTTAAAACTTTTCTTTTTTTTTTTTTCTTCTTTTAAAAATAAAAGGAGGAAAACATTAACAGACAGACAGCCATTTACAAAATAGCAAAAGAACAATCCAAACAATACAGTTGCGAACAAAGTGGTAGGAAATTACCAATGCTTGTTGTATTACATATTGATATCTTCAAAGTGGTTTCTCATGAAAACAAATAGAGACATGCAATATTGACCAATCAAGGACTCATTAACTGTTTCTTTCAGCAAAGAAATAAAAGACAGTAGATCAACTATGTTAACTATGCTGTATATACATAGATAGAAAATTTCTCCTTCTTTCCCTTTTCTTTTCCCACATCCCAGTTGCCCTTTACCCTTGAGTGTTTTCCTATCATTTCACAATGTCTGTCATACCTTCTAGTTTAAATTAACTCTTTCAGGTTTTACACTACTGGGACAATGTTTTGCTTGCACATGCAGATCTCATTTATTTCACTTATGAGTATGGTCTCTAGTTGTGACCATTTACCTATAAAGGCCTCAAGTTTATCTTTCTTTATAACTCAGTAACATTCCATTCTATAAAAGTACCAAAGTTTTCTTATCCAGTCCTCGGTGGATGGACATTAGGGTTGCTTGCACAATTTAGCAATTACAAATTGTGCTGTTATGAACATAGGTGCACATATATCACTGTGATATGATGTTTTTAGATCTTCTGGGAAAATACCCAGAAGGGGAATAGCTGTGTTGAATGGGACCTCTAGACCTAGATTTCTGAGGATCTCCAAACTGATTTCCACAGTGGTTTCACCAGTCTGCATTCCCACCAGCAGTGGAGAAGGGTTCCTATTTC